ACTCCAAGGGACACATATTCAACAATCAATGAAGGGGGCAGACACTCCAAGGGACACATATTCAACAGTCAACGAAGGGGGCAGACACTCCAAGGGACACATATTCAACAGTCAAAGAAGGGGGCAGACACTCCAAGGGACACATATTCAACAGTCAATGAAGGGGGCAGACACTCCAAGGGACACATATTCAACAATCAATGAAGGGGGCAGACACTCCAAGGGACACATATTCAACAGTCAACGAAGGGGGCAGACACTCCAAGGGACACATATTCAACAGTCAACGAAGGGGGCAGACACTCCAAGGGACACATATTCAACAGTCAAAGAAGGGGGCAGACACTCCAAGGGACACATATTCAACAGTCAACGAAGGGGGCAGACACTCCAAGGGACACATATTCAACAGTCAACGAAGGAGGCAGACACTCCAAGGGACACATATTCAACAGTCAAAGAAGAAAGCAGCACTTACAATGACATCAAACCTGCAGTAGATGTCCACCACCTTGTTGCTGGCATCCAGGACGGGAAGAGCTGACACCCTCTTCTCTACAAATCTGTTGAGGGCGGCTATGATGGTCTCATCCGTCCTCACCTGCGAGTGTCACACATGGGTGTAGGGGACAGGAACAGCTGGCTGTCTGACAACTTACTGTAGCTATGTCACTGTAGGTGCCAACCTTGTGCTGCTCAAGGGGTTGTTGAAGGAAGGACGGTACCGAAGGCAAATCTACGATCTACAACAACAAACAACCTCTTTTAGCTCAAGTCTTCACCCCAGCTAATTAATATCTTCGTCAAATCTCAGCTACTCAGGAGAGACTTGATGTGGTAGTCACAAATTAGTTTCAATTATCAGTGTCATAATTAATGTATATTAATGTATCATAATTAATTTGTGAGATATATTAAACCCTTTAAATAACTATTCATTAATTGGAGGGACGGTGTAAATCTTTGGTTTCTTTGTAAGTTCTAATTAATATGAAATTGATAGCTAGTATATTTACCTAATACACAGGAATTTCTTAACCCTTAACTGGACGGGTTGGGTAGATTCCGCCCATGCATAAACTTAATATAGTAGTAAAATATATTTTTCGTTTACTGAGAGCTACCAGCTTTCATGTATTCTAATTTTACATTGATACAAACATTTTCCATCCATCATTTATAAATATAAAAATTTCTAGTATAAGTGAAGCGAAGATTAAAGAAGGCATTTTCGTTGGACCTCAGATTCGAGAATTGCAGCAGGATGGAAATTTTCAAAATAGTTTGAATGAAGTTGAAGCAGCAGCATGGAATTCCTATAGAAACGTTTGCAAAAACTTCTTAGGAAGTGTCAAGGTTGAAAATTACCGAGACATAGTTAATGATCTGTTGCTTTCCTACAAGGCACTGGGATGTAACATGTCCCTCAAGATCCATTTCCTGCATTCACATCTAGATTTCTTTCCAGAGAATCTTGGCGCAGTTAGCGATGAGCATGGTGAGAGGTTTCATCAAGCTATATCAAGCATGGAGAAGCGGTACCAAGGTAAATGGAGTCCCGCTATGCTTGCCGTCGACTGCTGGGCACTCAAGAGGGATCTACCACAAGCAAAGTATAGAAGAAAATCCACTGTCACTGCTTTTCAATAATAAATATGTTTCGTTCATATATGCCTATATATTAACAATATTTCCAAATTTCAAGTAGGTGTATCTCAGAAATATTGCGTAATAGAAAAAAACTAATGATATATTTGGATTCAGGACATGTAGATAAGATGCTATTTCTTTGTGGACAAAGAAAAATATTTTTTGATAAACCAGTTACGTGACATTGTTTGCAATTTTTAGTGTATTTATCCCAATACTAAAAAAAGACCGTCACGCAAAAACCATAGGTGATGGGAAATTTCTGATTAGATTTTTGAGTTCAGCATGAAAAGTTACACTAGAAACATAATCAGGTTCTCTTGTGCAAAAATCTTGTTGACCAGTGTAATAGGAAGGTACTTACCTTCAAAAAGAGGTACTTAAGTATCCGTTTGTGGGTGATGATATGGAGGACATTGCCTGTCTCTGGATTGATCACAGGCAACCGATGGACCCGGTTGTACAACAGCGTGGTGATGGCTTCGTACAGGCTGCAGCACAGCTAGGTGAGACTGAAGGATAAAACAAACTCTTTATAGATGTTAAGATACAGTAAAACCATGTTACATGAGATAGGCCCTGAAAAACATTTATATAATCCTGGTCTGTCCTGAAGGTGGAATCTTATTAAAAGTTAGGTTGTATGATGCCATTTACATTGGTGGTGGTTGCCTATCAGATAGGGCGATAATGTTTTTTTTTTTTTTTTGCTTATCCCTAGTACACGTAGTACAGGCCATGATAATCATGGTGGGTAGAAGTAGGCGACTGCTTTTGCTGTAAGTGCACCACATGTCTACACATGTGAAAATCAGTTCGACTTTGCACTTACAAATGTACCAGAGCCCTGTTTGGTTACTTGCACTCACTGGTGGGGTTGGACTTTTGCAAGAATCGGGAGCCATTGGAGCATTTTTTTTTTTTTTTATCAGAAAAAAGTGCCCATTGCGGGAACCGAACCCGGGTCTTAGCGGTCGAAAACCAGCGGTTCAGACCATCCTTCCACCGACCCCCCTGATAATGGTTGCTACATCAAGTGATAAAATAATGCTAGAAAAATCATAGAAAACTTGAAAAAATATATATATCACACACACTAGCAATAAGTATATCCTCTTCTTTCTTATCTCTACTCAATTATATTAGGGTATCAAGCCTGTATAGCTTGAAATTTTTGGTGTCTGCCATGGATGAGCCAATACAGGTTTTGATGTGGTTTGGGGTTGCAGACTGAGAATTGCACTTAAGTGAGTATTTGTCGACCATCATGACTGGGTGAAGTAGAATGTGTGTCTTTATCATTAAGACTGGGAGCACTACTCAGAATCAGACCGACTTAGTTCCAATATGAACAGATGTCATGTGCAGTCGCTTCTAACATGGAATACTGACGCTGCTCATCCTGTATACCTGGATCAGGAGCCCTTACTGGGTACTATCAGCAGGGCCAGCTGAGCCAAATTTTTTTACCGAGCTTGTTACTTCTCCCCCTCCTCCTTTTTCATCCAGGCTTGGGACCGGCATAGGCGAGTTAGAATGAGTATATTAAATCATAAAATAGGTGAGATTTTGGGCAATTTAGGGATAAAAAGAACCCTTTAGTGAATGACTAAGGTGTATATAATCTACAGAGACTTTTAACTTTAAATTACTAAAACCCATCCTTTTCAAGTATCTATTATCTTTGAGGGGAGGGGTCTATATTATTGCTTCTTAAACTGGATTAGAAAAAAAAAAAAAACTAATGTTATCATGAAATATACACTAAAAACTCGCTAAAAATAACATGGGATATAGCTAACCTTCCCTTATAACAAACTTAAAATAGTTCGGAAGATAGAATCCTCTGAAATATAAATTGAAACAAAACACTGTCTCCGAGGATAAGTTTCTTGTTTTATTTAAACAATCTTTCAAGCTTTAGAGTATTACAAAACCCAAAAGCTTGTACAAAACCGCCTGTACTTCGGTTCAAAAGATATGACCCCGGACTTTAATTAAAAGGGGAACATGTAGTATATAGTATAATCTGTGTAAAATAAAGATCCGGCAACACTGTTGGGATAAGCAATGGAGCAATAATAAATATGTAATTCATCTAACGTGGTGCTGTATTGAATGCCTATATATATATATAAAGGCTGTAACTATATTAAATATATGTATAAATAAAGGTTAAATAGAAACAGTATAACATATATAACAGAGAGATCATTTAAATAAAACAAGAAACATCCTCAGAGGCAGTGTTTTGTTGCAAACTAAAACGGTTCCCATTTTTATTTTATAATACATTGAACTATGGCTATAATGAATCAAAAGTTCAGTCCTATTGGGGTTTGATATAAAGGGGTGTAGTGGGGGTATTTCTACAAAGGGGTTATCAAAATATCATTGTATTTTTAAAACAGATTGTCAGGAACACTTACCTTGCTTCTGGGGAAATGCTGACCAGGGGCTTGTTCTGTTCACTCAGAACCTCTGGAAACCATGATACCTGATGTCAGAAACTGTGGAAGTCTCCAAGAAGAAGAAAAAAACTTTCAAAGCAAAGATCTGTCAGCTTCTTATTAAACTACTTTGACATCTTGTCAATAAATGCAAAAGTGCAGTCTGCACTATTTTAAAATGATAATTATATATATATATATATAATATAATGCGCTTTATGATTGTAAAACAACATTTGAAATACTATCCCGCATATGTTTCTTTTCAACAAAAAATCAAAATTTATTTCAAGGAGAAATAACGATTATTTCTAACCTTTTGGATGAGGTATGAAAGGGTGAATTGTGAAGAGTAATGATAAACGGAAAAATAATTTCCCATCCCTGGACACTTTTATTTTTCCGTTTATCATTACTCTTCACAATTCACCCTTACATACCTCATCCAAAAGGTTAGAAATAATCGTTATTTCTCCTTGAAATATATATATATATTAAAAATAATGAAGGCTTATTCTGACCAAAAGCACATGTGCTGCGGGGACTGCGGCGAGTGATTATAAACAATACTTAAAGTTACACCGCATAAGTTTCTTTTTTGTGAAAAATCAATATTTATTTCAAAGAGAAATATCTACTGTTTCTGGGTTGTGGGTTCGATTCCCGCCCCTGGGCACTTTTATTTTTCCGTTCGCCATTACTCTTCATATTTTCACCCTCTCATACTTCATTTTAAAAAAGTTAGAAACAGTAGATATTTCTCTTTGAAATAAATATTGATTTTTCACAAAAAAGAAACTTATGTGGTGTAACTTTAAGTATTGTTTATAATCACTCGCCGCAGTCCTTTATAATGTATTATAAGTTACTTTAAAAATTATTTACAAACGGAGGAATATGTCCAGGGTAGCCTAGTGGACATGGCACCTGCTCGGTAAGCAGAAGGTTGTGGGTTCGATTCCCGCCCCTGGGCACTTTTATTTTTCCGTTCGCCATTACTCTTCATATTTTCACCCTCTCATACTTCATTTAAAAAAAGTTAGAAACAGTAGATATTTCTCTTTGAAATAAATATTGATTTTTCACAAAAAAGAAACTTATGCGGTGTAACTTTAAGTATTGTTTATATATATATATATATACAAATTAATTATAAGGCAATAACACACCATCTATATATAAGAAATGTAGACATTAAAGCACGAATGTTTCTTTTACACATAAAACAAACTTCTACTGTCCTTACTGCAATGAAAAGATATTGGGAGGGTTTGGCTCATCAGTGTGAACTTTCTCAGCAGTTTCACCAATTTAATCTACCAGACCGCTTCTCAGATCTCTAATACTGTATACGATGCTTCTGTTGTTGTTGTTGTTTCTTATCCCCTTGCGTAAAGATTACACGAATTCCATGAGTTCATGATCTCATGGGATGGGATATAGGGGTACAGCTTTCGTTGATCATGGCACCATGATCCAGGCACACTTTGGTGAAAGTCTGACTTTACCTGTAATTTGAGGCCGTTCCTAACATGGAAGCCTTTGCTGCTGACTCTAACATGAGCACAGGCACAGCTCCTCCGTATCCCTGGAGTGGGACCATTGCTGAGGTCCATCAACCGGGTCAGTTGAATTCAGGATTTTTAAAGAGGGAGTGTCCCTCCTGGTTACAGCATCAAGTCATCATGATTCTGCTTGTATATACTACACCAAATTTTTCATAACAGTAAGGACAGTAGAAGTTTGTGTAAAAGAAACATTCATGCTTCCATTTCTTATATACATATACAGTAGAACTACCTCCCTGTAAAAGACACCTAATTGCAAAGCCAAAGTGTCCTTTAGGGAGAGGTGTCCTCTTACCGGAGAGTGTCAAAATAGTAAAAAATGGTAATTTTGTAAATGAAAACTGTCCATTGAGGTGTCCTCTCGTGGAGGTTCTACTGTACTTCCTGATTAGCATATTCCAGAGGTCAGAAAATAGTGGTGCCAATCATATATGAATGAATCTCCAGGATAGGAACTGGCAGTAGCTGGATGATGAAGAAGCCTCAGTCACTTACCCCTCCAGGTCTCAATCTTGTGTTCTTCAAGCTCTTCTATCTGGATCTGTAGTATATGGTCAGTTGGTCAAGTCTTCAGACAGGTAGATAGACAACTCGCTCACCATGGGGGATTTGTAGTATGTCCGCAGGATGTTGATGAAGTCTGTGATGGTCAGCATCCCTGCGCGGCGCACACACCCAGCCATGGAGGAATCCAGGAATAATTTCAATAGTACTCACCGACAAATTTGCATTTGGCACTATCCCACAGCGGAGCTGCTCTTAGCCCTGAGAGAACGAGAAAAACAAACAACAATATATTAGTTAGAATATCTAAACTTTGTATAAAGAAAACAAAAAATAAAAAAAAAAGGAGGAAAGCACAGATCTACTCACCAGTAAGTTGAGAAGCCCAGAGGTATATATATATATAATAAAATAGATGAGAGGGAATTAAAAAAAAAAAAAAGAGAGATAGATGGGATAAATGAGGACGTGCATAATCAATCATATGCAGATGCATTAAACTTGGAGGAAGGAAGGTGAAGCCACAAAAAAAGGGGTGGGGTGGGGGGTAAAAAAAGGACTTACAAATGGCACACAGCACGTCCACATGTTAAAGTTCCTAGCGACAAGCCAAGAGAGAGTAAGTTATTGTAGTCTCTATAGTGTTGTTCTCTCTAAGCTAGCTCTAGGGAGAGAGAGATGTGTGGGCCACTCTAGAACTGCCTCTAGAGCGGCTCTGGAACAAGGATAGGAAGCTTACCATTTTGGACCAGGGCGAAGAAGGCTTTCTTGACCTGTGCAATCAAGGATGTTGGGATGGAATCAGTGAGGAGAAAGATTAACTTACGAGAAGCTTGGTGTCAAAAACCACAAGTTTTCCACTGATGGGGATCAAGTCGTAGCACTTGTTGAACTCAAAAAATTTTGCAATGTAGAGATTCTCATCCGTCCCTGCAACAGCAACATATTCAGGAATAAGTGGTGTGCAAGAAGGATTTGCCTTCAAATGCATTGAATACACCAAAGAACTACAATCCATTTTATACAGCATTTAATAGTGGAGCTGCAATTTAGCCTAAAAATGAAGAGTGATCAACTAGAAATTAGATAAACAGTGAATTCTTGTTGCATAAGAACATCATTTGGAATTATAAACACAAGGTAATAAGACTAAATCCAAATAAATAGTGTGTGATGTTTCAGTAACAACTTTGTTACCATCTTCAGATAAAAGTACTGAAGTCTGAACTGAAGTCATTCAGTACTTTTGACGGGGGTCGGTGGAAGGCTGGTTAAACCGTTTGGTTTACGACCACTACGACCCGGGTTCGATCCCCGCATTGGACACTTTTTTCTGTTTAAAAAAAAAAAATGCTCCAATGGCCCCCCGATTCTCGCAAAAGTCCAACCCCACCAGCGAGTGCAAGTAACCAAACGGGGCTCTGGCACATTTGTAAGTGCAAAGTCGAACTGCTTTCACATGTGTAGACATGTGGTGCGCTTACAGTAAAAAGCAGTCGCTAACTACCCACCATGATTATCATGGCCTGTACCACGTGTACTAGGGATAAGCAAAAAAAAAAAAAAAAGTACTTTTGACTGAAGATGGTTACAACGCTGTTACCGAAACATCACACACTATTTATTTATTTGGATTTGGTCTTATTACCTTGTGTTTATCTATATATATATAATTGAATATCTGTCTGTCTGTCTGTTTGGTTCTCTATAGATTCAAAAACCATACATCCAATCGCGTGAAATTTTGGGATATTATTAGGTATATTCCCGGGAAGGTTTTTGAAAAATAATGCTTTATAAGCTTTATAATGGCTATCTCCTTGAGGTTACCGATTTAAAAGTTTATTTTCTAATTTTAGATTGTATAAGAAACATATTTTATTTTAAGAGAGAGAGAGAGAGAGAGAGACAATTGACATATTTTTATTGACATCATGTCAATACATGTAAAGTGCACAGTCCGCACTAATTATAAGAAAATGAGAAATTTATAATGAGGATGATGGTTATAATAAAAAATGATTTTAAAAATGATTAAAAAATACAACTATGTACATGGCGCCTCTGCCACCGCTGCAGAGTTTGATGGAAGATCGCCAATGGGTCCCCAGAGATACCACGCATCTCGCGATCTACGAAGAAGACGTAGATGGCATGCTTTGCCGCTGAGGAGATGGTGATGGCATGGTTCTCGAGGTTCACCGCGAAGATCCAGGATTGCAGGTCCGGCGGCCGCCCGATGATGGAGAACACCTCTCGGATGAGAGGGCGGACGGCGCTGCAGGACCAGTAGCGATGAGCCAGCGACAGGTCGCTGGAGCCGCAGGCGATGCAGACGGGCTGGCTCGACGCCGGGTGCCCCGGATGAGGCAGGGCGTGCAGGGCTAGCCGCAGAGCGATGTCCGCTGCATGGCGAGAGAGAGAGAGAGAGAGTATTGTACTTTATTTTAAAAAGTAGTGCTCCCAGTCTTAATGACAAAGGCAGAGACGCATTTTACTTTACCCAATCATGATGGTTGTCAAATCTCCCCACTATGCTGCATTGGCCGTCACTCAGAATAATCAGGGCCGCGTCTGGAGTTTAGGCAGAGGGCTTCATTCGAAAAATTCCCTACAGTCTCCCAATGCCAAATTGAATGTTCTTCAATGTAACATCAATGGCATATCTACTAGTAAGAGCAAGGTTAAACTGGACGAGATATTATCACTGGCGGATTCCAAAGGCGCTAATATCATTTGTCTGCAAGAAACCAAGCTTAAGCCCAACCACCTTTTTAAGGTAAAGGGCTTCAAAATACTGAGAAAAGACAGGCCTTCAGCAGATCGAGGAGGAGGGCTCCTGACCCTCATCAAAGACCTTTCCTTTGAAGTTTTCTGGTCATCTACAGACAATGACTTTCCAGAATGGTTGCAGGGTTTTCCCACTATGTACTAAGTGCAATTCGCAGCCTGCAACCCCAAGACATATTATTGACTGTATTGACTCATCCATTGATGAGCTCTACTCTTCCTCGGCAGACACCATCAAAAATCTCAAGCTTTACAAGCTTGATACCTTAGTGTGATTGAGTGGAGATAAGAAAGAAGAAGAAGAAGAAGATTTTAAAAAGTTTAAATAATTGTGCAAGACGATATATACAATATATAAAAATCAAAAGAAATAATGAGTATTGTTTAAATATAAAATTCGAATAAATATAATTTAATAATTAAATATTTTATACTTATAACCGAATGACCCGGGCAAAGGAAGGCAATTCCCCCAGGTTTTGGTTTCGGCTGGAAGTCTGATGCAAGCCTTGTGTGAGTCATTATTAATTTTCATTTTGATGTATTGTATACATTTTATCATTAATAAATTATGTTTGAGGTATCAAAACTGCTTTTTGTACAAACACAGCAACGTGTGAATGGGTACAGCTTATCTTTATAAAAAAGTTTAAGTAGAGAGTGGATGTATGCTCGAAAAATAATTTTTATCAAGTTTTGGTTAGGTAAACTTTCACTAGGGTAAAACCCGGGCGAAGCCGGGTACATCCGCTAGTAATCTATAAACTAAATTGTGCCTTATCATCACTTGGAATTGTTATAGCCACAGTATTATAACCACAGTATTATAACCACAGTAAAAACATTCCAGACTTTAGAATGATGATGTTATAACCAAGTGTATGAGAATGGTATAAGAACATACTATGAAAGCAACCCGAGTATAGCAACCATAATAAGAAACCCTATTACAAGAAACAGTATTCCTATAACAAAAACTATACAATAGCAAAGCAGTATATTCCATACCATGCAACCAATGTAATAATGTATATGTAGGTGAAACAGGCAGACATATAAAAGATAGAATAGACGAACATAGAAGAAATATTAAAAATAAAGACCCCAAATC